ATTAATTACAGTGGTGTGCAAAAGTCTTGAGCTAACACAGATGAAAATATCAGTTTAAAGCAAGTTTACACAATTCTAAAAAGTTTTCAAATCAATATTTGGTATGACCACTTTTAACCAGTAACACAGCCTGAACCCTTATCATTGCTTTAAGTAGTATTAAGAAATAGTTCTCCAGGCATCTCGAAAGACATTCAAAGCATTTCTTTGGATGTTGTCTGACTTTTTTTCCTGTTATCTACCAAGATTATCCCACACAGCTTCAATAATGTTGAGGTCCGGGCTCTGGGGAGGCCAGTCCATGACTGAATGTTTCTTTGTGTTCTTCTATCCAAATATTACTTCACCGGCAGTGTGTTTGGGATTACTGTCATGCAGCAAAAATTAACCGCTTCTTAAAATATATTGCATGGTAGCTCAAAAATCTGACATTGCTTTTCATAATTCATCATTTTCACAAGATCCCCAACACCAATGACTGAAATGTAGCTCCAAACAATGACAGAGCCTCCACTGTGTTTTAAGGATGATCACTGTTGTACTGTCCTAGCCTCCTCTATAAAATACTGATAATAATTTCAGTGAAAAAAAAAAAAAAAAGTGGATTCTTCATTCCTTAAGATCTTTTGACACAGATTTACAGTCTATTTGTGTACTTTGTCACACCTCAGCTTTTTCTCTCAGTTTCCTTTACTCAATGATTTTTTTGACAGACACCCTTCCACTGAGACCATTTCAGATGAGGCTTCAGTGATGGATCAACTGAAGGGCCAGATGCACCTCTCAGGTTCTGTGTCAGGTCTTTACTAGATTGTCCCGCCAATTTCCTAAGGACATGACTTTCAGATGCTATTCATCATAGTTTTAGAAGGCTACCACTTCTTTTGTCCTCCACTTGTCCAGTTTTTTAAGGGCACACTGCACACCATGCCATGAAGGGCTCACCCTATCGGTGAAAAATAAATAAAGCTGGTTCCTGTTATCTTTGATCTTGGACATTTTTAAATAGTCACCTAAAGAAATGAGAACAAGTGTGTTTTTGTGACAAGCTGCTAGTAACAAAGTGTCTAAAAATACATTTTAAAAATGGTTCTTAGTCAAGTTCTCTGTTGTGTAGACAACATTCAACACAGTTTCATCCCTTCAGTTAGGTGCTATAACAAACAAACAAAACATTTGTTTGTCCATGTACTGACCATTTCCTCTGAAAATGGTCAGTACATGGACTAAAGAAAAGGTGAGTAAAAAAAAAAATTAGCCAATGCTCAAAGAAAACCTTTCAAAGACCTTCAGAAAGTCATATATATATATATAAAAAATGACACATACACAGAGAGGAGTGACTCAATACTTTGCACGGTACTGCATATACTACTGAGATCTATGTATCACCAATGGTTGTATAGAAATACATTTTTCCTCTTGATTTTAAGTAAACGGTATTACAAATTAAGAATTTAACTGGCTTAGTTGTGTTTTCCATTGCTTAACAATGCCAATTTTCTAATGCATTTCATACTATGTCAGCTACAACAGAGAGGAAACTACAATACCTCAGCGCTAAACACTGGCGCACTGGTTTTATTTTAACAGTAGATTACAGTCTATCTCTGACCACTGTTCCTCTTTGACAATGTATTTTTCCTGTTTTGCATTCATCACCATGACTTCTGATACTTCTGTGCTTGCCTCGTCACTTAATTAATCATGCATTTGTTACCCCAGCATTTATAGCATCGACACTAAGGCTTGTGTAACTTTCCTGCCTCAAAAGCAACTATTAAGTTGGATAAGCATCACAAGAAATTTTTTTTTAAGAAGTTGTGAATTTGATTTAAGTTATTATGTCTAATCCCTGTATAACAGCCAGGAAGAAGTGAGATCATTAAACATTATGCACGTAACTGATATATTACCCAATATAATCAGGCTGTATAACAAGAGGAAGGAGGGGGGAAAAACATGAACTCAGCCATAATTTGACATACTTTGGCCATAATGCCATGCCACACTTACAATATCCAGCAACCTGTCGACACACGATGAAAGCACGCTGTGTTGTTGGGTGAGATGTAGAGATAGGGAAGATCTGTCTGATTGCCCTTTTTGGCACAGGGGGCACAACCACTCTGCCACCCCATTCCTTTCACTGCACACCGCCTCTCCAGACTCCTCCTAACAAACACAAATACACGTTTGAGAATCCTGCCCTTCAGGAGTGCAAAACAAAACAAAAATAAATGATGCATAAAGTATTTCATAGAAAAAGAAAGAAATTAAGATGTGATGCAATAACTGCAGTTTATGAAAGGGACTGACCAAGCTCAAGGAGGGAGTTAGACACAGACCAAGACAAACTGTTACTGGATGAATATCCACGTCAATAAATCTAATCACAAATAAGTACCTCAGTCTCACAAGAGTTGCACTTCTAACTTTCTAAAGAGATTGCTATTATTTGTCCACAACGACCAATTACACATCAACTCAAACTGTTTAAGTGGCAGCTTTGTAATGTAAATGAGTACATTCGTAGATGAATTTACAAGGCACTGATGCGAACTCAAAGTTGCTCCTGGATACAAGATCGACATAATAAACATATCTTTGTTGCCATTCTGACAATAAATCCGTACGTACAATACCGAAATAAATGCAGAATAACCAGAGGAGCACACTCGATGCAAATCATAACATGCACTGCCCGAATTTACAACAAGTACACTGTCTCTCAGATCACAAACATCCCCACTGGTTTTGACTAATACGAGGAACATGTGCCCAGCATACTGCATATATTCTGATACCACACTGTACTCGCTCACCGTGCAGGATTAAAAAAATAAATGAAATACTCGGGCTCCCATACAGTCTTAAGGAAACCAAACAAACCGCTGGTAGTGTGAATATTACCACAGAGCTTTCATGTATACTTCGGCTAAAATTCACAATCAAAGGTGCAGCGGAAAAACACGGGAATTCGTGCCCATGAGGAGAAATACCAACACAGCTCCCATCCTCACTTCCTCGTCATGCCAATTAGCAAGCTAGCAGGGTTATATGACCAGATAATATTTCGACGAGTCTACATCTGCAGAGTGTATCGCGTTTAATAGCTCCTCGTCACGAGTTTAATCATCAAAAGCAGAAGACCTACCTAAACTGGCATCTTCTTGGCCGTAGTTGGCTAATTAACGAGCAGCCTAATTAGCTATGCCGAGCAGAGACGAATCAATTAGCTAGCAAGCTAGGCGCTGTGAAGCCCCCCCTGTAACGTCGCATTACAGTGGTGTTTCTGGAAACGCTGGCTGCCAGTTAGTTTACTGAAAATAAAAACCTGCAGTCACAGCCACACTTCTCCGAAACTGTAAAAGACAAGGCAGGCGTCCGCGTAATCTCGCTCCTGGCTCTCTCGGTTAAGGCTGAGCGATGATTAAATTAATAAACAAAAAGGAGGGGGTGGGGGGCTGTGCTATTAACAGTCGTGTCACTTTGCTAGCTAGCCTGTTAGCAGGCAGAGATAATTAACCGCTCCTCAAACTGTCTCCCAACTGGCCGCTCTACACTCCCTACAAAACTCTGCCTCGGCCAGGTGGGGAAACTGCAGCTTCAATAACCGAGCGAGTTTACCCAGGATAGACGATAGACTCATAGGCTTCATATTAAAATAAAAAACAAAACCTCGGCCTCGAGTTATTTCCTTACCCCTCTGATTATAGGCTGCCAGTCGGGCATCTAGTGTTGCACTGCCCGCCGCCTGCTGCTCAACAGCGCAAATTGAGGCCTAGCCGGACTAAAGCCATTTAATTAATGAACGTGGGCTCCGCTTACAGATGTGTTAGAAGCACTCGCACCCCCTCCTCCCTCGCCGCCCAGCAAGACCCCCTTTTTGGACGCGTCCTAGCGCTCAAATCCATACCTTAAACACTCACGGTGCAACACATGGCCATTTAAACTAGCGTTTTAAGAGCTTCGAGCCGTAATTGGCGAAAGAATTAGACACCGAAAAGCGAGTTAAAAAAGCAGAGTACGTGCGCGGCGGTCGCCTCGACGATGGGGGTGGTGTAGGGAGAGCCAGGCAAAAGAGAGAGACGAGAGGCGAGAGAAAAAAGTTTGGGATTTAATGTTGGATTTCTATGAGGGATCGGATTAGTATGGGGCACGATCCGTCGTTTGCTCGATCCTGTAGCAGTCGCAGGCCACTCTCCCCGCTCAAATCGGCACAATTAACCGATCGCGAATGGCGTTTAATTAAGTTCGGAGCAATTAGCTAATGCGTTTTTTTTTTTACCTGCATGGTCGCCGCTCCAGCACACGCACGCACACACACACGCTTCCTCTGTGGCTCCTCAGAAGTGAAAAGTTTTCTTGCCTGCCCTCCCTCCCTCTCTCTCTTTCTCTCTCTCTCTCTCCTGTTCTCCCCCTCCCTTCATTCGCCCTATCCCTCTCTCCTTCCCCTCTTCCCTCTAGTAAACAGACCACAGCTCCCCCCGAGGCTGATTGCTGACATTCAGAGGGGACAGACACGGCAATCAAATCCCTTATGTAACCCCGCAGATATTACAGATAATTAATGTATGTTCAAACACTGATCGCTTATTATTGGGTAATAGAATTAATTAAGACAAAGAGAAAAAGGGGGAAATGGAGGATGAATGATATATTCATTTAGAGAGGTGGTGGGGGGAGAAAGAAATATCTTAATGCTCAAATTACACGGAATGCCTCTTAAATGCGAGAGCTCTTCCTCATTTTCACATTAAAAGGTGAATAATAAATGAGTCCCCATTCTGCCAACTTAGATTGTCACAAAGAGTGTGACGACTTAATTAAAGCTGAATAATGGAGATGTGACCGCGGAGCTTCCCTTCGCCGGCCTCCTCACACCCTCCTCCGCAGGAATTCTGACATGTTTTCACTCAAACTATAGGTGTGGCGCACATCAACAGCCGACTATGTGGGATAAATATTTATGAAGCGGAGCGGATTAAAACTGCACCATCTGTATGTCCCCTGCGTTTCTGGGACAGGAAGTGATTTTCCTGAATATACCAATAGGTGTCCTTAATTGCGCCTGTGCGAAATCAAACGTTGCTGACGTGTAGAGGTCGCACGGATTGAGCTTTTTCTCTGATTTCAAAGCCGAATTGTTTGGAGTGAAGGAGCTGATGCGTGAAGGTGTGTGACGGTACACTTGGTGTTTTTTTGGAGACTCCGTGGTTCATATTGTTGATTTTGACATGTAGCTCCCGCACGATTCCACAGCAGCTGCACCGCCTGGGCTGAACGGCTCGAGTGTGATAATTAGACCGGTGTAACTTACTAATGGAGATACGTTTTTTGTTATTTTGTAACATACATAGGTTACATTATAACATTTAAGGACAGTCAATAGTAACTGGGGTGGCTGTTTAAGTGGAAGAAAGTTAGCATATCATTAGCAATAGCACAATGTAAACATAACCTTTTACGAGGAAAGACATTTATGTATATAACCTAATTTTAGTCAAAATATAGAAAACTAAAGGTTATATAATTTTCTTAATATTATTATATTAGTATAACTGTATTATTACTGATGCTTGTACTGTATTTCAGTGTAGAGCAGGTTAAATTACAGGCTGAATTTTGGCAGTACTTGCCAGCCACTTAGGTATACCTTGCTAGTACTGGATTGGATTTTTTACATTTAGAGCTGCCTTAATTCTTCATGGCATACATTCAATAAGCTGTGGAAACATTCCTAAGAGATTTTGCTCCACATAGACATGAAAGCATCACACAGTTACTGCCGTTTTGTCCAGCTACACTTGCGTTCCCCCACATCCCAAAGGTGCTCTGCTGTACTGAGATCTGGTGAGGGCATTTGAGTACAGTAAACTAACTTTTATTAAGAAAAACAAAAAAATAACACTTGCTAGCTCGTTGTTCACGCTAAATTCTGACCCCACCATCGAGCAATGGAGGGCCATCAAATTAGTTAACATTTTTCCCGTAGTAGGTAGGCTGTGGTGTTTAAGCCATGTTCAGTTGCTACTAAGAGGTTCAAAATGTGGCAACAAAATGTTCCCTTCACCATTACACTGCCAGCAGCAGCCTGAACTGTTAATATAAAGCAGGATGGATCCATGCTTTCTTGTTTACACTAGTTTCTGACCCTACCATCATGATGTCACAGCAAAAATCGAGGCTCATCAGACAAGGCAATGTTTTTCTAGTCCTATTCTTAGCTTGCTGTAGCCTGTCTGCTTCAAGGTTTGACTTGTTGTGCATTCAGAGATGCTCTTGTGCATACCTTGGTTGTAGCAAGTAGTTCTTTGACTTTTTCCTTCCTATTAGCTCAAAGCAGTCTAGCGATTCTCCTCTGACCTCTGGCATCACCAAGGTGTTTTCACCCAGTGAACTACTTCCCTCTGGATGTTTTCTCTTTCTCAGAAGGTTTTTTTTTTTTGGAAACCCTAGAGATGGTTTTGTGTGGAAATCCCAGCAGATCATCACTTTCTGAAATACTCAAAGCAGCCTGTTGGCTAATTAACAATCTTGTCACATTCAAATTCACTTTAGTCACCTTCCTTCCCCAGTCTGTTGCTCTGTTTGAACCCCCAACAGGTCATCTTCACCACCACTCATCAGCAGTGGCGTTACAGCAACATAACAAAACGTTTCCCATAACACAGCCAGTCTGTGTTTTCTGCCCACCGATGAGAGCATTAACTCATCATATACAACTTACACCATTCTATTTATATCACTCCTACAGTGACTTTAAAATAGACGTGGGCGTATTTGCAGTGCATTACACTGTCACTTTGGATCTCACCATGTTTTCTTTCTTGTTTTTCTTGTTTGTTTTCTTTTAGATGAGTGTTGAAGTGGAAAGGAAATTTTTATGCAATGCCGACACCCTGAAAAAACTGGAGGAGATCGGGGGTATGTGTTTAATTTGTCCGCCACACATTTACACATGAATCCAGTCAGATCGGAGGCATTTATCTGACGCTCTGATCCACGGCGAATTATAAACGGCCACTGAAAGGCTTTTCCAGCATTTAATGGCACTAATTGCTGTGGTTGTTGTGTAACTGTAGTGACACTGGCCATCTGTCTTTGATTAATGATGAAGTTTAATTATCTGTATCAGCCTTTTTACATTTTATTTATTAAATTATCTATTTTTAAAAATCCCTTTTTCCATCAGCAGTTTGCGTTGGCCAACAGCAGATTCACGACCAGTATTTCGATACTCCTGAGTTTCACCTGACTTTGAGGGACATGTGGCTGCGTAAACGTAAAGGATGCTGGGAGCTCAAGTGCCCGACAGCAGAAGCGCAGAGCGGGAAGCAGGGTGAAGCAGCAGCATCGCTGTGCACCCGTTACAAGGAGATAACCAGCCTGCCTGAAATTCACCTGAGAGTCAAAGAGGTCATAAAACAGGACAGAGAGTCAGAGGCGGACTTCTCACAGGAAGATGAGTCGTGGCTGAGCAAACTGGACCTGGTGTGCTTTGCAGAGTTTACAACAGCACGGTGCTCGTTTACTTTAAAGGAGGAGGGCGTGCAGATCGATCTGGACCAGGCTGACTTTGGCTATCATGTGGGGGAGATAGAAGTCCTCATATCAGAGGGAGGAGATGAGCAGGCTGCACTGGAGAAGATCAGAAAAACGGCAGAAAAGCTGGGTATACGCTCTCAAACATTTAACACATCCACTGCCTTATACTGTGTATTATTAAGCGTACCTGTGAAGTAGTGAAGACTTTTTTCTCTTCTTTTTCACAGGGCTTACTGGAGATCAGCGAGTTAAAGGAAAAATGGATGTTTACCTCAAAAGAAATCACCCTGAGCACTATGCAAAACTGCTTAGTGAACACATCCTGTAAGAGATCATACTGCATCTGTACAAATATGGGAACAAAAAAAGGCCTTATTTACTATAAAAGGTAATATTCTATTATAAAGTATAGATTTATAAACGCAATAAACTCTAAACTGTAAAACCTACTGGATGATCCATGGCTGCTGTCATTGCTACGTGAACTTTTTGTATGTGAGCTTATGTTTTAGGGGGTTTGGGGATGGGTTTGGGCATTCGATCAGAGTTTATATTAATTTATCGCTAATGATGACAATGTTTTCTTACCAAGAGTAAAGATGTGTACTCACAAAGAGGCTCAAAGAGGAGGAACTGGTTTGTGACATGTGGCAGAGGATCTTCTGACACATTTATAGAGTGATGAAACCGTCCCATTGTCTTTTCAAAGAAACTTTCTTCACAGTATTTAAATCTGAATGTCTCACTAAAAACATTTGCACTTGAATGTTCTACATAGTGTTCAGAATTTGACTTGTTATATGTAGATACATATCTTTTGACGTATGCCATGCTTTGCAAGCAGTCACCTTTACGAGAGACTGTTTTTGGAGGCACTAATTAGTTTGTCATGTTCACGTCATTATTAAGTAACTATTAAGTAATTACACAATAATAAATGAATACCTACAGTTGATTGTGTGTATGTGGGCGGAGGGTGCATGTTTGTATTCCTGTCTGTATGAGAACATTTAGTGACATTAATCCATCCTCTTAATCCTAAAATAAACCATCAGGTGCCAAACCCTACCCAAATCCTAGTTTTAACCCTTAAAACCCAAATTATAACCCCAACAAAACAAAAGCCTCCTGTGCACAGCCACGTCTCAAACAGGCACAATCACACACATTTAGTGAGTGTATCCTTGTAGCTGCACTCCTTCCAAAACAGTAACTTCTCTGCATGTTGCACGTTCAGGTCACACCTGTAAGTTGGAGTTATGGATAAATAAGGTCCAAATAGTCTGTTTTAGATCCAATTTAAGACCCAGGAAGCACAGAACAGGTTGCAAAGAACAGAGTGAGGACTGCAACCTTTCAACTAAACAAAAACATGTCCTGCTACTTAAGTCAAAATAGCTATTGCGCAGCATCTTGATTGTCCCAGAAATATTTCCTCCTTCAACCTATTGTTTACATTTACAGTTACATGCATTGTTAGAGTTATTATCATCTTAAATCTGATCATGAGAAAATGTTTGCCTGCTGCAGAGACACACAAGGGTCTGCACTGAGCGTGTTGTTCACGGTGAGAAAAAAAAGTGCTCCAGTGATGTCATTAAAAAGCTTCCCGCGTCATGACTATCTGTTTGTTTTCTTCAAAAAGATTTCTTTGTTATGATGTGTACCAGAGATTAGATAGAAATCAGTCAGTTCAGTGATGGTTACAGAAAAAGGAGGGGAAACACACAGTTAGAGGACAAACTGTGACTTTAAGTTTGGCTCTTTAAGCTCCATCACTTCTGTCTGTTAACGACAACATTTCTAATAGTCCTGTGCAATATCTACTTAATGGTGATATATTCATTAGCAAGAGGAAAACACTGTATATTTTAAGCTACAAAGAAAAATTCATGTTCTTGCACGTCAGCTTGTATCAATGATAAATTACCAGAGTCATCCATGGATAATCCTCTTTCGTTTTGGGTCATGTCCAGTCAGGTGTATGCAATGGAGGAGGATTCTCAGAGGTGTAGACTGGTTCTCCTGCTGATTAGGTCTCTGCACCTGTTGTAGGCAGATCCACCTGGACACCTGGAATTCACACCACACACACCATGGCTTCTGCTGTGCACAGACAGCTGGTCTTGTTCACAGGAAGACTGCACAGGAGGCCAACTTCATGCAGGAGTTGTTACACAGGCAGTCCTGTATCATGCAGAATGTAGATGATCCCTTAATTTAAAAAGAAAACAACCCATCATCATCTACCAATCAGACATGCAGTGGATCGATTCCCAGCTAAAAAAGTATCCTTGAGCAAGTACTAGCCCTTTGAGTTTCCCCTGATTCATCCATCAGAGTGTGAGTGTGTGAAAATGTTAGCTAAAGGTGTGTAGGTATAGATGAAAGCACTGCATGACGCTGTATGTGACTGGGTGAATTAGATTTATTATACAAAGCACTTTGAGTGCTCAAACTGAGTAGAAAGTTGCTGTATAAGCAGCAGTCCTGTTATCAGGGGCGGATCTAGGGGGAGGGGCTTTGTTTTCTTAGAAGAGATAACGATATAATAATTAGTTATTATACCTCTGTACCATTTACAGAGGTATGTGCTACCCTGTGTAGATCTCTTGCTCCTCCTTTGTTCTCACATGTAAAATTTTCTAGATCAGTCACTGCCTGTACCACTTACAGTTTCCATGTACAGTGATCACAACAGAAGTCTGAATGTTTCAAACTGCAACAACACTTATTTAATGGACACCACGGCCCATAAGTCAGGAGGTCATACTTGTAGCAAAGGAAACACAGAGTAAACCTAAGGCAGTCTGCATACGCTTACAATGTGATAGATGTTGGAGCAGAAATTTATTAGCCATACATCAAAACCAAGAGTAAATTCTGCTGAGGTTGTTTGCATTTTATATCTGGTGAAAAAATATGAGTGGTTCACTCCTATGGGCAGTTTAGAGTCACCAATCATCATTTAAAACAATAACTCTTAAAGCAGTGATTATTAAATAATGGATGATTCCTAACAATATTATAGCCTGTATCCGAGGCTGTTTTGTGCCTATAAATGTCCCTTCTCAGATATAACTTGTATGATATCCACTGGTGTTTGGTAAATAATAAAATAAATGTATTGTAAAACATGTAACACATGAAATGAGTCCGTTTTCAGCCCATGGCCCATCTGTAAGTGAGAGGCCCTGGATTAGTGGTTCAGCTGTTGGTATGTTGTTTGAATCTTCCTGTACGCTGTCAGCAAATTGTTTAGCGATAAAGAGCTTGCAGACATGTCATGAATTCAGAAGTCACATGTTGTGGGCTTTGATGACTCAGACCTTCTTCTCTTCATATTCACATATTATTTGTTGTGACACCCTCTGGAACACATTCCAAAATGTAGATTTTAGAGGCTAAGGTAGTTCGGTTAGTTGAGCCCCACGTCCACACAGTGGCCCTGGCAGCCAAATCCTGGGGGACTGGTAGACTGTTTTGTAGGACCTAAATAACGCAGGTGTCAAAAAATAGACAGGTTATTAAATTATAGGACCCCCGCCCCTCGGGAATAGATGACAAACACCTTCTTTACCATGAGCAACCTCAGACTTGATTCATTACGTTGAGGTGACACAGGAATGAGCAGTACAGTCGTTCACAATAAATAAAATAGATTGCTTAGTGGCACTTTAAGTTGCTTAGCTTGACATGTTATCATTTTTAGTTTCCTTCCACTTTACTCTGTGTGCTGTTTTCATTTTAGTTTGAAGAGAAGAAGGCCCCCCCCCACCACCACCACCAGACACACACACCCAAAAAATAAATACATAATAATATGAAAAACTAAATTTACTAGCCAGAAGAGTCCAAGTCCATTCATTACGAGCGCCTTCAGTGTACGACTACAGTCTAATGTTTATCGTTATGTTAAAGTTATGTGAAGCCTATATGGGCTGTACATGCTCTGACATATAAATATACGACATACATTACGAAATATTCTAATTATATATTATATATATTCTAATTATATTATATAATCCATATAGATTATATTTATTATATTTCTTTCACAAAATAAAATAATAAAATTATAAAATAATATATTTGAGTAAAAATTCCTGTAGATGGCCAAAAAAAACCCCCCCAAAAACCTTTTGTTTTTTTTTTTCTTTTAACTTTTTTTTAACCTTTTCATTAATTTTTTTTTTTTTTTAATAGCTTCACGGTAAACTGTTGCTGGCAGCTGGTCACGTGACGTTGAAAGGGCAAGCGGGGGGGCACGCGCAGGGTTTTTTCACACTTTTGTAAACAACATGGCGATTCACGGACCTGCTCTGCTAGCAGACTGATCAAACACTGTGTTCTCAGACCTCCGGCTCTCTAGCTTTGTGAGGGGTTTCTGTTAGACGGTGCGGAAGTTGCACACCGAGCACACGGTCCAGTACGCGGAGAAACGACAAAGAGGTGGACCGACGAGCTGTCAAGAAGATCGTTTGACAGTCCAACGGTAGCCAAATGTTATCGTTAGCATTATCAGCTAGCTCGAACTAAATCTTCCCCAAGCATTTTAAACACGACGAGCTAATGTGCAATACACGGATGTTTAGTTTGTATTGAAGGAGTGGAGAGGTTTGCGCCAGTAACTTTAGCTGTTATAGGGCTTACGCCGTATCCAGGAAACATTATTTCCTAGCTGCTGTGCTTCTCGTCCCTCTCCAAGGTGTCTGGGATCACGTGACGTTGTCAGGTAACCCTGAAATTGTTGTTACACGTCTCGTTATTCTCTCTGGTAGGCCATCTTCAGTCTATGGGCTCACAGTCCAGTTCTGGGATGTCTGGTGGAAGGGGCTCTTCCAGTGGCAACCCAGGAGAGCAGTCTGAAGCGACAGAATCAAACCAGGGCGGCAGCAGCAGCCGAGGCCGCAGGACGGACAGGCAGTCTTCATCAGAGGAGGACGTTGACTTAGCAGAAGTGCTGGCTTACTTACTGAGAAGGTGAATTTCACAGTTAAAAACGCTCAAACTGATACCACGGAGGGCCTAGGTTTGTAGCAGTGGTACTATGGAGTTGTTTTGGTGAAAGTGGGCCATAACTAGCAGAAGTAAAAATGAGCAATTAATACATAAAAACACAAGTGCAATAAAGTCAAAGTCCTTCTAGTAGCAAGTCATACCATCGATCCACCACTTGTCTGAGTCATGGAGGCAGCAGTCTTAAGCAAGCGCTCCTCTTTCTAGCCGAGAGACGTAATCGTTATTAAAGACGATGGCACTCAAAGCATTCCACAATTAAATCTGTGGGAGAGTTCTGCAACAGCCAAAATGTTGATAGAAGAAAAACTTGTTGGGGGCGAGGGAAGAAAGCTTTTTATTAACACGTGGCTGGTGATTCTGTGTGTGCAGTTTATACGTCCTGCTGACAACTGAAATTAAATTGGATAATTCTTCAAAATTACTGCCCAGAGGCATTTCGTGGTGAGGACTACATGTTTTTGGACTGCCCTGGGGACTTGTAGCATTAGTTCATTACTTTCTAATTTCTTGAACTCAGAACTAGGACAGAAGTCTTTGTCACATATGTGTGTAGTTGCTGCAGAGAAAATGACTTGTGTGTGGTGAGCGTATCCGGCACTTATTAAATGACATTTAGAGGCAAATAGAAGTAATGCATGCAGTATTCTATCTCGCTGCCAAAGAGCAAATAATTGAAACGTCACATCACATTCCAGCGCTGCAAAGCTAAGTGGGGGTTAAGGTTTTCCCATTTCAGTTTGATTTAATTGCACTTGGATAAGCTTGGAATTTTTTTGTATATCCCTCTGTAATAGTTTCTTTAGTGAACCGTGACATTGGCAGGGCCTGCTCTCGTGACCAGAGGGAACCGAGATCTGCAAGAAAAAACATTTGACATTTCTCACTTCTTTAGCATTTAAATGTTGTCATTGCTACATGTTGTACAGCTGGACCATTTAGCTTTGGTTTCCACCTGTCAAGTCTTTTTTATTTTCTAGGTACATCTTTGCACTAGGGCAATAGATAATTGGATTAATCATAACTGATTAATTGACTGGTTGCTTGCATGTGCAGGGGTCAGGTAAGACTGGTCCATGGCAGTGGAGCCACGGGGCTGCAGCTGGTCCAGTCATATTCTGACTCTGATGAAGACAGCGATGGAGCCTGGGATGGACGGCTGGGTGACCGCTATAATCCACCAGGTAACCTCCCACTGACACAGGGCAGGAAAATAAGCAGTTTTTTTACTTTGTTGGTTTACTCTTCATTTATACCCTTAAATACATCGTTACAATGATCACATAATATGGAAAGCTAACAGATCTATTTAGAGTGCAGCCACTGCAGTGCAGAAATACACGTAATTACGTTATGATGATGTCTTCTCTTTCCAAGTAGTGAAGCAGTGAATGAATGTCAGTAAGGTTTCATTTAGAGACATAATCGTGTTACAGTAATGTTATTGTCTTGTTTTCACTGCCATCCCAAAAATGTTATTTATGGAAACCTCAATTCAGTTTTTTTGTTTTCTAGAACTAGTGAGGCCTAAATACTGTTTCTTCTTCCTTTTGTGTGTTTCTTCTTTTGCTCTCGTTGCATGTCTGTTCATCGTCTGTCAATCAGTGATGGATCAAACATAAAACAATGTTTCAGCTGTCAAAAATTTCCATGGATTGTTCTCTCAAATATGTAGGACGGCTAATCAGAGCATGCCTGAAGTTCTGAGAGCTTGTTGTTGAATGTGAGCTCCTACTGAGGCTTGTTCTTTGTGTTCTGTCTTTAGTGGACACCCAACCTGACACACACGAAGTGGACCGGAGTGAGATCCGCACTCAGATCCTGCTGGCCACCGCCTCCTCTTCCTTGAAAGGCTATCGCAGTTTCACCCACATGCTAGCAGAGGTCAGACCCCAGAAATAAAATCTAAATGGAAAATAATTGCGGCAGTGCAGTCGTATTAGTTTTGTTTATAGAGTTCAATGAAGTTATGAGACTGCAAATAAATGTTTTTGTGTGCAGAGAGAAAAAGGCAGATGTAGAGGCTCCAGTTTTTCCCACGGAGAGTGCAGTCGTATCCGTACGTAGTAAGTAACTTTGGAGTATTTAAAATCTAAATTAGAATTAAATAGCAATTAGTTTAGCGTGACTAAAGCCTTGATTGGACCATTGTGCTCTGTTGGAGCAGAGGGATAGCTGCACAATTGCTGTGAAAATATACAATGCATTGGACATGAAGAAGACGAAATATTAAAATTGTGACCCCAGTGTTCTTCTGCAGTTTCCTGCCAAACTATGTGTCCCACAAGGATACATACCAGCAGAAAGCCTTCTGTGGAGTGTACAGCGAGGATGGCAACATGTTCCTCTCCGCTTGCCAAGGTAAATAGCACGATGTCCAACTTGAGGATCGAGAGGGGCTGAATCAGGTCTGATTTTTATTCTGAGTGTTTGTTTAAAGCTGCTGCGTGGATCACCAAATCATGCTGTGTTGTGTACAGACTGTGTTCAGGCGGAGGGGAGTATTATTGGACTTTTCTCATGTTCTAAAAAACAAATATCAAGCGCATCATCAGTTCCTATTTCCTGATTTAATGATTAATGAATGAAGTTACTGTTTTGTAAGCAAACTAAACAAGCGGAGGACAACATGTCTCACCACGTCTCACCTACGCTTGCCTAACTGTCACGACTATTCTTCTTGTATTATGTCTGTGTTAGTGATCAGCAGCAAGCCCTGAACAACAAACCAGAGGCTGGTGACATACACGTGTAAATGAGTCCTTATGTTAGTTCAAACTGATTAGTCTTACAGACAAAATGGAGAAAGTGAAATAAATCACTCTGTTTGTACCGAAGGAATAAATTTAAAAACAAACAAACTCTGAGGGACCTGTAAAAAAAACCCAAACAAAAACAAATGCGAGTCTTTGTATTTTGTTTAGTTTTGTTTTTTTTCTTGCTACAGACCAGAACATCCGCTTGTACGACACCAGTAGGGGGCGTTTTCACCTGTGGCGAACGGTGAAGGCCCGTGACGTGGGCTGGAGCGTGCTGGATGTCTGCTTCACCCCCGATGCACACCACGTGCTCTACTCCAGTTGGTCTGACTACAGTAAGGCTATGGGACCAGTAAAATATTACATGATGAAATGAGGAAAACAGTTTGCCATCATTAGAAAAACTAATTCTGTAAAGATTCAGCAAACCTATAAATCTTCAAGATTGGCTCTTTGGGATTATAAATCCACTTTTCCTAAAAAAAAATAAATAAATCTGGGACTGTTCGTGAACTGTAAATCAAACACATAAAAGGATATTTGTACCATTAGACAGAGCAGACACAAAAAATCTGAATATTAGGCTGGGACAGGTGCAGGTTTTTGTTTCTTTCTTATTTTTTAAACAACAGAGGGAATTTTTTAGAACTATAAAGCTATTCATTTTGAAAAAGTATTGTTTTATATTCTTGTTCAGTACAGAACTGTCATATTTTTCCCTTCCTAATGCGGCAGATGTTTATATTATATTATAGATGTGTGCAGAATGTGGTTTAATATTGATTCGCTGAAATCAGCAAGGTCTTTGCTGAAAAGCCCATGGCTGCATAGCAGCATATATTTTTCCAAACCCTTACTGTTAAGCATTAATGGTGCCTTCACAGATGTGTAAGTTATCCAGTATTACCATCAAAGATGTTGCTTTTTGAACTGCCAAGGCAGATGATCCCTCTGCTTTGTGTCGTTGATATCCAGAAAGACTTTCAGAATCTGATTTGTTAGACCACAGGTTGTTTTTGTGGCTTTAAAGAAGAAATTATATTACATTTATTTTTAAAAATGTTCAGAAAAGAAAGTATTTTAAGGTACTAAATAAGAGTAAATAACACTTAGCTTTGCTGTATACACAGCTGCTTATTGTATTGGTGTGTCAAAATACATTCACCCACCACTTCATAAGCTATGCCTGTTCAGCTGCTCATTAACGCAAATGTCTAACCAGCCAATGACATGGCAGCAACTTGGTTCATTCAGGCATGTAGACATGGTCAGGGTGACCTGTTGAAGTTCAAACTGAGCATCGGAATGGGGAAGAAAGATGATTTCAGTGAGTGAACGTGGCATAGTTGTTGGTGTCACGCAGGCTTGTCTGAGTGTTTCAGAAACGGCTGATCAGCTGGGATTTTCCCACACAGGGTTTACAGAACATGGTCTGAGAAACTGAAAATGAGCAGCGGTTCTCTGGGTGAAGATACCTTGTTGATCTCAGAGAAGAGTGACCAGACCGTGACTCAAATAACCACTCATTACAAACAAGGTGTGCAGAAGATCATCGCTGAATGCACAACATGTTAAACCTTGAAGCAGATGGGCTACAACAGCAGAAGACCCTACTGCGTCAGTGCTGTCAGCTAAGAACAGGAAACACACACTTACCAAATTTGGACAGTACAAGATTGGAAAATGTCTTAATGAGGAGTTTCACTTTCTGCCATCACATTTGTACGGCAGGGTTAGTATCATTGGTTCCAGCTGCTGGTGCTGCTGTAATGGTGTGTGGAATATTGTCTTGCTACACTTTGGTCTTCTTCCAGCAAGATAACATGCCACGTCACGAAGATTCAATAATGTCAAACTGGTTTCTTTAACATCACAATGAGTTCATTGTGTTCAAAATGGCCTCTACAGTTACCAGATCTCAATATGATGAAGCACCTTTGGGATTTGTGACAAATCCGCAGCAACTGTGTCATGCTGTCATATCGAGATAGACCAAAACTTCTGAGGAATGTTTCCAGTATCTTGTTGAGTGTATGCCACAAAGAATTGAGTCATTTTTGAAGGAAAGATGGGATCCAACCCAGTTCTAGTAAGGTATATCTAATAGGGCTGCCACAAACGATTATTTTGATAGTCGACTAGTCACCGATTATTTTTGCGATTAGTCGACTAATCAGATCATGCATCCATTGGATGTACAGCTTATTGCACCAGCATGCATCTGCTCTTATATAACTATCATTAGCTTACAGCTTTAAGTGTTTAAGGTCTGTGCAAACTAATAATAAAGACAAGATGATAGTTTATTAAATTTTAATGAAATTTGCAGATTGTTTCGGTGAAGTTTAATAAACTCCTTGCTATCTAAAATATAACAGGACACCGGAGTATATTCTCCAGCATCTCACACTTCTGATAATCAGCTGTCTGCTTGACGTTTATTCAGCTGTGTAAAAACTATAACTTTAATCTCAGCCAAACCGATTTACTCAGGAACAAATAAAATACTACAAAAGCCAAACAATAACATTTTGAAGTTATCTAAGTGACTTGTATATCATTTTTAACCTGAGTAGCTGTCGGCCGATGTTTTTTTTCTCCTTTTACTTCCGAAAAGAAAACCTAATTTCTGCTGTTCAATAGGCTTCTGAACAAATTTTTAAACTTTTTAAAATTATACAAAATGCAAAACGCTTAGCCGTGTCTCTAATAAAACCGCTATAACTTCAGAGGTAATGTTCATATGTTGATTAATGGTTTTCTTTTGATGTACTGCAGAATATTTTTATAAAATCCCAGACCAGGAAAAATCACCTTCATGTTTTTCTGTTTTATCTTCAGCTCCTTTGACACAAAGGCATCTGCTGTGACGCTCACACCTTTGATAAAGTCTGGAAAGTGTCAGCTTCCTTTTTATAGATACAAAAATATGTAAATGTACTGATCTGAATTATAATATTTCTGACTGTCTGAGGCAAAATTTCCCAGATTCAAATCGATTTGAATCGAATTGAATCGAATCGTGGATCGACTCGATTCTAGAAATCAGTGACGATATTCAGCCTTAACTACAATGTAGTGTCTAAACATTTCTACAATAGAACAATGAAAGTAGAGCCTTTAACAGCATCACTTGTGAGAAATGCGAAGAAGTGAATAAATGAATCAGGAAGTGATTTCTTTCATATTGAAAGTGCTTTTGCATTAGCCACAGCTTCCAGGAGTTTTCTGGTTTTTGTTTTGTTTTTAAGCAGCATATCAAACACGTTTTTAGCTGCGATGTTTTAGTCATACGTGTCTCTCTCTGTTCCTCCCCCACAGTTCATATGTGCAGTATAGATGGAGACAGTGAAAACCACACCGCCCTGGACCTCAAGTTAGTGTTTCCCCTCATAGTAACTTATAACATTACGGAGCAGGTAATCTATCATTCCTTACCAGCAGGCCCTCCTCTCCCTTCATTACCACCTGGATGAATGATGCTGTCAGAACTTGTCACCCCAACATCCATCCTCTCGCTCTGTGTGCGCTCCTTTTGTTAAAAATAGATCATTAATTCAACAAAGCACTGCCATTAAACTCACAGCTCTCCTAACAAAAACATTGTTTAAAAGGTGATGCTTGCTTTCATAAAGCCTTTATGTTATCCCACACCAAAAAAATAAATAAAGTAGATAGAGTGTGGTTGTAAGTCAGCAATTGTGCTCTTACTGCAGTGTCCAACCTGTGTGTTGTGTGTGTGTGTGTGTGCTGTTGTGCTTTGTAGTCCAGATGAGAGGAGGTTCTGTGTGTTCTCGCTGGCTGCGTCCACAGATGGCAAAGAGATCCTGGGAGGGTGAGTACAATTTGCTTTTATGTTTCAAGGCAGTGACTGACAGGGTTGAAATGAGTACTGAAGGCTCTTTATGAAATTTGAATTCAAGCACAACTCTGCTTTTCTTCCATTTGTTGGCGGTATATTCGAAATATGTTTATTAGAGCCTCAATTTAGGGGAGTTGTTTTATTCTTTTCTCAGCCTCTCTTCTCTCTCATTTCAGAGCAAACGACGGCTGCCTTTACGTTTTTGATCTTGAGCAGAATAAACGAATGTTGAAGGTTAGTGTGTCTTTGTGTGCATTTATGTCTTTTTGCTCGCGCGTCGCCTTGGCCGTGCCCGTTTCAGCGTCACGTCTGTCTGATTTGCGCTTCATCCTTCGGTCAAGGTTAGCCAGATGCAGCGGAGCAGAAACTACATAAAGTTTTACACCATCCTGTAGTCTAATATAGCAGCGAAGAGTCCAGCTCCGCCACACAGTGGGACGGTGGGGGTTAAACCTACCGCCCTCCCTCCTCCCATAACCGCCCCGTGCGCAGAAGTCAGCATTCGACCTCGACCATCTGCTTCGTCTCTGTCGTCCGCCGTTTCTCTGGCTGTCCCTCCTAATTACCTCAGTGTTGTGGTGTGTTTCTGTGCTTTTATCTCTCAACTTTTTATTAGTTGTTTGTACTTTCACTGTCACTTCCTCATGTGCAGCACTAGACTTTCCACGATTCAGTGCAGTGATGGGAAACTGAAGTCGGGGCATTTTGCTGCTGTGGTTCCGGTTAGTGTTTTTCCCCATTGGAGGGAAGGATTTCTGCAAATCAATAGAAAGCTGTTGAGGCTGATCTGTGTCTCACAATGAGACGTTCATATTCTCTCTCAGGATGACGGTCATCTCGTCCACTGAATGGGTTTAGTGATTATAAAATGATGTGAATCACACGCTGTGGCCTTCATAGTAACCTGTTAGAGATGGCCTCCACATCATTAAAACGGTAAATAATGAAATGTCTTATGAAAGAAAGCAGTTCAGTTGTTCTGCTAGAACCGCTCATCACCATGCTTCATGTTGAGTTATCCTTTTATTTGTGACACATCCTTTTATCTAGCGATTTATTTCGTCTTCTTGCACATATAAAGAACAAAACTAACAAACAGTTGTACTGCTGTAATTACTAACAGCTACATCTTTGCATTTGGAGACTCACAACCATGCCGTGTGTATAAAGCCTGTTTGTAGCACAGCCTTGGAGGCTTATGTACTGAAAAGTCTGAGTTTCAGTGCGCAGCAGCCTTGAAGAAAAATGCTCCTTTCATTACTTCTGCATAGGCACAGACATGCATAAGTGCGCACACACACACACACTTTTCACAACAACATGTAAATAGCCCACTTGTAAATAGCACATTCTTGCACACATGTGCACACGCTCCATACAGTAAACACTGACTCTTTCTTTTGCTGCCGTCCTCATCAGATTGATGCCCACGAGGACGACGTGAACGCGGTGGCGTTCGCTGACAGCTCGTCCCAGCTGCTGTTCTCTGGCAGCGATGACGCACTGTGCAAGGTGTGGGACAGACGGACGCTGCGGGAGGACAGACCGCAGCCTGTTGGACAGCTGGCCGGCCACCGAGACGGCATCACCTTCATCCACAGCAAGGTGGGTGCGAGTGTGTGTGTGTGTCTGTGAGGGGGGGTCTCTCAGTAAAAAGTTTTCCAGTTACTTAGAAATGGTTTAAATGAGAACATTAATCGTACAGGACGTTTATTCAATCACATGTATTGTTCTAACTCTCAGATCTCGGTCTCTTTTTTTTTTCCATTTTGTCACGGTGCCAGGGTGACGCTCGCTACCTGATCAGCAACTCGAAGGACCAGTCCATCAAGCTGTGGGATGTCAGGAAGTTCTCGCCCAAAGAGGGGCTGGCAGCTTCCCGTCTGGCTGTCACCCAGCAAAACTGGGACTACCGCTGGCAGCAGGTTCCCCAGAGAGGTGAGGAGGGGAGGGGCCGAAGAAGGGCGAAAGGGAGGTACTCGTGGTAAATGAGTCAGAGGGGAAGTTGGAGGACGAGAGGAGGAGAGGTCACACAGAGGAGGAGATAAAGATGAAATGATGATATTAAAAAAAGAGAGAGAGCAGGCTGTGTGTGTGTGTGTGTGTGTGTGTGTGTGTGTCGTGAGGATAAAAATACTGTAAAGCCACACGTAGGTAGGTGTATGTGCGCGTGTGTGTGCTGTGTGTGTGTCTGTGGTGTGTGGTGTGTGTGTGTGTGTGTGTGTGTGGTGTAAAAAGACTGTAAAGCCACACGTAGGGAGAGTGATTACCATTACAAGCCAAGAAGGAAGGAGTGGAGGAGAGGTGAAGGATAGGAGTTTGGATAATGAGATAGAGCAGGAAGAGAGGAGGAGACGAGGCGGTAAAAAACTAAACAAAATGAAACGATCTAGTTCAGGGTGCAGTTTCTTCTAAGCTTGATATAAATCTACATGGTCTTTTGGATTAAAGTTGAGGACAAGTGTGAGGAAAGAGCATAAACAGTAAAAAAAAAAAAAACATTTATAAAATGGAGAAATCCTTGTGCATCTTTTTGTTATTTAGCAGTTTTGTGTTTGTTTACTTGCTCCTCGCAGCCCTGAAGAGACACAAGCTGACAGGCGACACCTCAGTAATGACCTACCGAGGTCATGGCGTCCTCCACACCCTGATACGCTGCCGTTTCTCACCAGAGTTCAGCACTGGGCAGAGATTCATCTACTCCGGCTGTTCCACGGGCAAAATCGTCAGTAAGTGACTGTGTGTGTCTGTCAGTGTGTAAACGGCGACAAAGTCTGCGTGAGCTGATGCACAAAGTAATATTTGAAGAATCGAAAATCAGTTGAACCCTGTGTGTGTGTGTGTGTGTGTGTGTGTCCAGTCTACGATGTGCTGACCGGCACGGTGGTAACCAGACTGGTGGGCCACGACGCGTGCGTGAGAGATGTCAGTTGGCACCCGTACGAGGACAACATCATCAGCAGCTCTGTGAGTGCGGTTAATGCAGAAAGTGTCCTGCTGGAATCAGTGTGTGAAAGCTCGTCATCATAAATATCACATTAAACCCAAAAGAAAGCCCTTTCCAGAAGTTGTAAAACGATTTAATAGAGTGGCGTTAATCCCAGACACTGTTTCCTCTACTAATGGAATAAGGCATAATTTAGAAAAGTCTGAGACAATTTGATACGTTTTCTGGTAATTACGGGGAAAAAATGACCATTTGCAGAAATAAACGACTGTTTTTTCCCCCCTCACATATTCCATTAAATTAGACTTTTTAGCAATTTCACTACTACCACTACTTGATAAAATGGAAAACAACATTAAAGCAGTGCAAATGAACTGAGCTGTTTCGACTAGAAGAAGGAAGCAGACATGAGATGCAGAGTACTTTATGTTTATACTTTACGCCGCTGAGGCCTGGACCTAATCACACACAAGCAAAGCTGGATTTATGGTCGTGCAGTGCTACTTCCTTGCGTAGCTCTTTGGGTGTGCAGAGAGGAGGATTGTGGGAGTTCAACCAGCAGAGAGGCTACAGCAAGGGTGCAGTCCTGCAGAAAGTAAACACAGCTTTGCCCCCGAGCAACGCGTCAGAGGAAAAAGTGAATTAAAAATCCCAAAAAGCAAAATAAGAAGCGCAGAAATTGGAGGTTTTCCACATAGTTTGACTCGGCCACTAAGTAGGTCTGCAGAACTCTGTGTAGCACATATGCGCTATTGATGTAGTAGCATATCAAGACCATAAATTAGCTCTTTGCTTGGCTAATAAAAATGCTGCTTCTTTTCCATTTGTGGTTAAAAGCTGCCGCTTGTTTTGTTGGCATAAAGCATGAATCACGTCACCGTTATTTAACAGAGCAGACAGGCTCAGCAGCTGTTTTAAAAGTGATAACAAGAGTCCATCCAGCTTAAGAACATTAAACTACGGGGCTTAGATGGCACAGTTATTATTTTTTAACCTCTGATCTCCATCCTTTCTCTACAGTGGGACGGAGCGGTTCGAATGTGGGAGCACAGACAAACCCATCCCCTAGACGAGGAGCGAGACACGGCAAGGGGAGGAGGAGGAGAGGAAGGGAGCTGTTGGAGGAAGTGATGTTAGCACAGAGGAAGGCAGTGAGCTCAGAAGGCCTGGGAGAGACTTGAGTATCTGCTAACGTTAGTGCGGGATATTAGTGATTCAAATGAAAGCGTGGCTGAGAAAAGTTCACTGGGAAGGCGCCTGAGCCTCGTGCTGTCCAGTGCCGATCAGAACACGGCGGGATGGCTGTTGCCACCTGCAGCTGTTTTTCTGTTTTTTTTTCCCCCCTGTTTTTTTGTTTATTGCCTCATGTCTTGCACAGAATAAGGAGGCCAGAGCTTTTTCAATCCAGCCTGGGACATTTTACTCAAAATGCGCTGAAGCTGCACTTAACGAGCTGTTGGAATGAAACAATAAGTTAGTGATATATATATATATATAATATATATATTATATATATATATATATATATATATATATAATATATACTATAATAATATATATATATTATATATATATATATATATATGGACAGAATCAGATCAACACTTTGGATTGTTGCAGGGGAACGTAATGATGATAATTTTGTAAAAATGTATAGAATTTTAATTTTTTTTTGTGTGTGTGTGTGCGCGCGTGTGTGTTCAGGGAGTGTATTTAGATTGTCGTCAGTGTCCTGAGTCTGTTTGGACTCTGCTGTTATGAATAACACAACACAGGCTGTGTCCTATTTTAGGGAACATCTACCTTTACAGACTCAACATATAATCATAAACATTTTTTTTCCAGTTGGCAAACTCATGAAGCTGATAATTGCGTTAGCTTTCCTGAGTTTATTCAAAACTCGACAGGCTCAAGGAACTTTCACAGTCATTATTCGACCTGGTCTGCCTCATCAGAAAGAGTTTGAAAGTTTTCGCTGTTATTCTGAATCCTCTGTAGGCCTCCTCAAGGCTAATGTTAACTCCCTGTCCCTCAGACACAGCAATATTCTCGTTCCAGGGTCAGCACTCAGTGTAATTTTTGGCTAAATGTAAGCCTGTGATTTGATTCAAAGATTTGATTGTGTGTGATTAATGTGTTCAAGTCAGCACTTTGGGGAAGGGGAACACGCACATGGTTTCAAAATGATCTGTATATGCAATTTTCAGGTGTTTATATCAAAGCTCATATTTCACTCTCAGACTTTGCAGTTATAATAAAAACCTTTCTTCAAATGTATCACAAAGGGGCTGTTGGTCATTGATCAGATGTTTCAGGCTTTAAAAGTGTGGGAGCTGCAGGAGAAACTAGAACGACACTTCAAACAACACACATGACTCACGGGATGGGATTTTTAAACATTTGTCATTGAGCTTCTCTGTGTGTTTTATAGAGCTAACTGCAGCTGCCAGATATGCACACAGTTGACAATTAGCTGCTACAGGAGCCATAGCAAAGTTGTCTGAAGGTCATTGTAATGTCAGCAGTGCACTTACCGGCCTAAAATTAGACCTAACATACTTTGGCGTGCCTGGTTTCATTTACACCTACTGTTCTGACTTCTTACAAAAGACTCCAAAGCTCTGCTGGAAAAGTGCATCATCACAGTGAATTTCAAAAGTTTGCACTCATCATTTATTATTTACTACACTGGAAAGCTTTCTCTGAATAACTTTGAAGACTAACGAGAGAAACCAAAAATCCACCACCTCATGGAAGTTAGCAGTCCGTCTGCCATTAGTCTGCACTGGCTTGTGAAAGCGGCATCGGTGTGCTTTATGTGAGCATGAGTACCACGGAAAGACTAAATGCAGTCCATTTGGCTCAGACGGTTGAAGGGGGGCTTTAAGAAGCTCCAGCCTGAGTACTGAGCCTGGAAATAAAGCAGACTGAACGTGCTGTGAGAAATGCAGCTGTCCATGGCGCCAAATGCAAGCTGGCAACCGCTTATAACTTAAATTAGTTTTGGCTCCAACAGCTCATTCTTAGACTGGAGAGTCCTGAAGGAGAGAACCGGAAAAGGAGCTAAATGATCCAAGGTCAGAATGAGACTACTATTATTATTACTTTTCCCAATGCAGGAAATGCAAATATAAGTGAGCAGCATCACGAGAGCTATTTTAAAAGAACTGGGAGCTTTGTCATGAACTATAGATTCATTTTGTTTACTTTTTAATTGTGTTTGAGCATTGCTGTGAAAATAATGGGGTCAGTTACAGCAGCAAGCATTACTGCATCTCCTCTTTCTGCCTACGGGGGAGGGGTTTTGAGGGTAAAGGGGACATGGAGGGGGGGGGTTGTATTTTTGTAAACCATGTGTTCTCTCGCGTGCCTGACAGTGATAGAATAGAAAGGTCCTGGAGTGGGACGGGTGTCCTTTTCCCAGACAAAAGCAAGCGAGGCAGACTCCACAGAGAGGGAGGACGAACGCGGGTTGAACAACATGAATCTAAAGACAGGAAACTCCTCAAATGGCTTCACACCAGAGATCAGTTTGGATAAACTACACCGGATGGCTGCAGAGCTGATACTGCCTGGACGATCCATCTTGAGGCTCCTGAACACTGTTCTGGAGTTTGTTACAAACTTTCTGGCCCGAGTTTTAGGAAGCAGCCTGATCAGGAGACACTTCCACCTGCTGCTGTCTGGGTTGGTCCTCTTTGGGCCTGTGCTCAGCTTCTGGGTATCAAAGTATAGCATCTTTGCAAACAGCAACCACTACCTGTACAGGTGAGGACTCCGGGAGACAATGAATTACTGCTTATAGTGCTTTGCGTACACCAGGGGTGTCAAACATAAAGCACAGGGGCCAGAATTTGCTATTAGGTGGAGATAGGTGGAGGACCTGTTTGTGGAGAGTTTAGCAATGATTTATCATGATTTAATTGGATGGAAATAATTGACTGAAATAGCTGTAGTAACTGCTGTCATTGCTAAAGGAAACTGTATATCTTTGATAAAGGCGCTACTCCTTTAATAAACTCTTGACTCTGTAATAAAACCCAGCGCACCCTTGCTCACTGTAGTGCTCGCTGGGCTTTTACTGCTTCAGCCCTACTTAATCTGTTTTGATGGCAAACTTTCACTGAGTCTTTATTCTGAGTCAGCTTGTGGAACAATACAGTTCAGCATTTACAATCATCATAATGTCATTTGGCCCACTGTTTTAGGTTCATATAATCCATCACATATTTTTAAAATCCAGTTATGATATTAAATTATTCCTCATTTATTTTTTGGATGCTTTGCTGCCACTCATTTGTCACATACACTGAGTAAACCCCCACCCAAAAACCAATACAATATTAATATACCACTTTTGAAAAACAAAAGCAGCACATAAATATTGTATGATAATGTCATTCTGAGGTATGATGATAACTATGAGGCAGTAGCAGAATTAAAGTCTTCCTCAGACTGTTCAGTGCACTTACATGGAACTAATTAAGTGAAACCACCGGCTCATCAACTTTGATACCTCAAAGCAATTTTGACTGAACTGAAAAAGTTAAAAAGACTCAGCTTTGCTGTAAAGCTTGGATTTTTATGCATATCAAAAATAGATTTACTTTCTGAGCACTGTGTTAGCAAGAAGCTCCTGGATCTGACCTGCTGGCTGCCTGAAGTCTTTGTGTGTTCTGTGTGGAGTCTGGGTGTTCTTTCTCTGGCTTTCTCCGCCAATTCAAAGACATAAATGTCAGGGTAACTGGCGAATCTAAACTGCCCCAAATTGTGAATATGAGCATGAACGCCTGACTTTCAACCTCCCCAGGATCCTCCTGTTGCTGTGACTGTGAGGGAAAAGTAATTCTACACATATTTCATTACTGCGTGTGTTTTGCTCATATATATGGTGTGTACTGATATCCTTATTCATCACGCTCTCACAGGAAGTTCCTGAGGTCCACTTGGGGTTGGACCTGCATCTTTACGGGCGCTTTCATCATCCTTCTCTCCCTCTCAGTCCGTCACTCCACCTCTCTTTCCCTCCGCCACCTCTCTCGAGTAGGCCTCACGGGTTTGCTCTGGTGGAGCTGTCAGCGCCTCCTGACCCTGCTGGAGGATGCAGCGGGGACCTGTTACGAGCCCATGACCCCAGGCCAGGACGGCCAGAGCCCGGCCTCTCCAGTACAGCCTCTGCTGCTCCTGCATGAAGACCAGAACAAGGCCTCCTGCCTGAAAGCCCACATGCTGTGGCGAGGCTACGAAGTCTCCCAGGACGTCCTCATCCTCTGCTTCTGCTGTCTGCTGCTTGTCGAGGAAATGTGTGTCTTTGGTCATCACTTGGAGCGACAAAAGCCTCTGCAGAGGTCACCCGGGACCCCGCTGAGAGTCGTCTTCCTCCTGTGTGTTCTTCTCCTCCTTGTTTGGATGTTTCTGCTGCTGTGTTTGCTTGCATACTTCCCAAAGTTTCCCTCCCAGCAGCTGGGTGGAGCTCTGGGCTACCTGGGGTGGAGAGGACTCTATCAGGGATTGTATAGACTCGGATCGAGATGGGGTTGTCCTGGTTTGCCCAGAGAGGGACTTTCTACCACGGTGCACACCAACAAACAGCCTTAGTAGTGTGGCACGCTTAATGAAAATGGTTAGATTTTGGCACTGAAATGTCCTTCAAAGCTCAGGAACAAACTTCCAAACCCTCTTTTAAGACTGCATGCTGTAAATGTGACATCACGTTAATAGTTTGCTTTCTTTAGAGGTCAAAATTAGTCCAAAAAGAAGCTTAGAAATCTCATTCAGACAAAGTAAGTGAGAAAAACTGCTGCTTTATTGTGTAATCTGAACCAAAATGCAGGCACAGTTAGAAAAAGATTTCTGGGAGCAGGTGTATCATTACTTGATGAAGAGTGTCATTCTACACTGGTTGTTGCTTATTAAAAAAAAAAAAAAAAACGAGCCTGGAGTCTGCCTCAGTAGATGAGCGCTTTCCCATCTCCTCTGGGTCTCTTAATCTTGTCAAAGTTCTTGTTAATGATGTCAAACAACACAGCCTGGAGAGAGAAATAAAGACACAGAGTGTGATGCAGAAGCAGGATGATATAGGGAAGACAGACAGTTTACAGGGAGTCATAAAAGAGAGGGACGTCCAGATATGGAGCTGTAATCACGTCAAACAGCTCCTTTCATCATCGCCCGCAACGCCTTGTTCATTAGCGGCATCAAACACGGGAGGACAATGGCCGAAGGAAAGAGACGAGCTGATTAATGGACGGGAGACGGAGCGCCAATCAATTTAACACAAGCACTGCAATTAGTTTAATTACCCTCCTATTAAGAAGGAATGGATTCCATTTAAGCTGCCGCTCCCGCCGGTGGACACGACAGGCATATTTTACACCCAAGCCGCTCAATTTAAAATACAGAGCATGAAAACAGCAGATGGTACACGGAGTGTGGATCATGAGATTCAGGATACACGCAGTCAGAGAGGGCCAACTGTAAGCAAGAGGCAGTGGGTGTCTTACGTATGTATTGCGGATGTCCAAGACCACAAGGCGGAGCTCGCAGTATTGATATTGGTCCAGCTCGTGGACCAGCTGTCTGTAGTCTCCCTGCAGCAGAAAACCCACACCACAAACAGCGAGCGTATTAGCAAAACAATGTGTAGTATGATAAGCACATGACACAACAGCAACTAATTTATGCAGGAGAGATTGTCCTCATAAGTTTTTTTTTTTTCAGCGCACCGGCACACATTTTTGTCATTCACACATTAATATGCTGATTAGGATGCACAGCGGGAGACACTGACCACGTGGGGCGACTTGGAGGCTTTGGCCACAGCGTCACCCCTCTCATTGTAATACCTGCCAAAACAAGGAGAAGAGAGGAGTTATAGTACCACCCACCTGTTTTAAAATAGCCCCCAGCGTTTCGCTAAATGTCACATCCAATGCCATATTCAACACATCAGTCTGGTTTTTAATAAAAAGACAAAGCAGAAGACTGCCTCTCATTATCTCTGTTAAGATTTTCTCACTTTTAAATGTGGAATTGAAGCCTTTCTGATTCTGCTTATATCTATATGACTTTTTTTCTGTTTGACTTCACTAAATAAAGATGGACGAGACCCTCTGAAAGCCTGAATTGCTGTTTATCTGTATAGATTTCTCAGTAATTGTGGATATTCTTATGATACTGAGCGCAGCAGGTTTTGTGGTTTTCTCTGCCAAATACTTTTGATGGAGTAATGTCAGGTCTGTTTTCCTGTGCTGTACACTGGCTACGTCAGTGCAGGCTCTTACTTTGAAATCTGAGTCTGGAATCCTTCGATCTTGGTGCGTGTGTTGGTCAGCAGCTCAAACACTTTCTCCTGGTGGACACGAAGGAAGATTTAAAATGCAGCTGGATAAATTTCACCCTAAAGATAGACTCCACATGCGATTGTTTACTAACCTGGACAGCCACTCCGAAATTGTTCCCATCCTCAATTTTAGGAATCTGGAGTTGCACCCACATTGACACCTTCCAGGAAAATAACAAGAAAAAACCCCCACTAGTATAATATACAAGACTTTTTATCACATTAATATTTTCTGCACATAAAACCCAACGCATTTCTCTCCACATAAAGTTCTGAGACTGACCGTGTTGAGCTTCTCCTTCAGTGTCTGGATCTCAGTTTTGACCTTCGGCAGGAGGCTCTCCACCTTCTCATTGGTGCAGATGGGACCACATGGAGGGCCTGGAGGACAGAGGATAGCACTCCTTCACTTAGTGAGCTGCAGATTTGCTTTTGTAATATAGAAAAAGTTCCTTATGCCCTTGCTTTCTTCCAGTTAGCTAATCCATGTGTAAACGGTGTTTAAACTTTGTGTCGTCAGCTCATGAGCCACAGTAGACTCATCAGTTTGTTACAAAGGAGCCAGAAAAGCAGTGATGTGTTTCATACATGGGTTTGGAGCCTTTCTTCCTGCAGTATTTATTGTCCTTATTTACAGGAATACGGTTACTGCTAAACGAATGCATCTTTCTTTCCATTTTCCCCCATTTACCTGCGTCTTCATCCTCTTTATCACTGTCCTTGTCTTTCTTCCCCTCCTTAGCCTCCTTCTGTAAAATAAGAATAGAAGGCATCGGGTCAGAGTTTTTGCTGATGATTAATCTCCAAGACAGCTAGGCTGCACGCCTTTTTCTTTTCTGGCTTTTCAACCTTGGGATCTCTGTTGGATTCTTTTTCTTTGCTTAAGACATGTAACCCAGTTGCAGCAATCTGTGCCCCTTGATATTCTAAGGAGACTCCAGCAGCTCCCGAAAGTTGTGCAACCACCCCAAATATTCTCCTAACCCTCGTTAAAAAAAACCCAGTGGCATTAGCTACACGGCTCTCTGCCCTCCTCTAAATCCCTGCATGAGTATTAGTTCAAGACACACAGCCTTTGTATGGTTTATAAAAATCTGAAATTCACAGCCGACTGAAGTAACATAAAAGACCTGCTCGCTGCCAGTTTGTAAAACAGCCCTTGTAAATTGCACTGTGATTGGTTGTCATGGTAACTGGGGACTCAGCATTGTGTCTTTATATAATGAAACACTAAATATAAACCCTGAGCCGAGGACCCCAGTTGAGAGGAGGCTCTATGAAGAAATTCAAAGGTTAGACAAATAAAACACAGATGTGAGGCTCCTCGATATGAAAGCCATTACATCTGGGTAATGGAAAAACAGCCGTCCTTCATGAATCACCCCGAATGCTCCTTTATTGGATTTATATCACAGTTTTAAAGAACAGTCTTCTGGGATGGAGTCCCCACCTGCTCTTTTTTCTTGCGCTTGGCCTCCTCTTTCGCCGGATCGGGTATCGGGATGTCGAGTGGAGCCTTCAAAGAAGGCAGATCGTTGCATCTGAAAGACTGACGCACAAACACAAGTCACCTAATGTGAGAATCAAGAGCCCGGTGGTATGTGCCCACAGTCACACAGGTGGATACCTTCAGCAGCTCCTGCAGCTCTTCGAGCTTCTGAGGGAAATATGTTGACACCAGCACCTCCGCCTGTTAAAACCAAGTAACAAAATCCACATTAACAATTCAAACTTGTGAAGCAGAGCTGGGAAAGATTTCTGATTTTCGTTTGAGTTACCTCCTTGGTGAGCTTTTGGCAGAAGTCGTCCACCTAGAATAAAGTCACAGATTTTAGGCTTGCTTATAAATGACCATTTTATTTAGCCCCTGCTGCTGCTCACCTCCCGTGACCCCTGCTGTCCGTAGACAAACCCCATGAAAACAAACACTTATGTGGACACTAGCTCGCCTGCTAGCATCACTGACACACTAACCATGTAAGTGAAGGGAAAGGAGAGTTAGCTTGCTGCTACATAACACTTTGTGCTAGCGGACTCACCTGTTTCTTCGACTTGAGGCGAATATCCACAGCAGCCATGTCGTCTCTGGAGAGCAGAAGTTGTTTATTAGAGTTTAGTAAAGGCTTTGACTTCACAGGAGGCGGTTAGAAATAAGAATATGCTCTCTTTCTGTGTAATTCAATTCCGTGCACGACACGGACAAATACTCACAGTTACTCAGCATAAAAAGCGAAAATGAAAGTAAAGAGTGTTTTAGACAGTTCCGTACTTTCCTGCAATAATAGCGAATGGACGTGTTGCATTGTGGGCCGTGTAGTTTTATTTGACTTTATTTTATAAGGAGCAGTCGACTTCTCATTTCCCAGAAAATGGGGCTGTGATGGGAACAGAGTGGGGAAGTCTACAAGCAAAAAAAACCACTCAGAGAAATGCGTTTCTGTGTGGCAGTAGTTATTTCTTTGTCTTCGAAGGGCTAACCCTCATCCAAGAATAAAAAAAAGTCACCTAACTCAAGGGATGAACCAATGTTGAGTCTAAACATTCACAATTTAGCCTCAAAAACCAATTCTTAAGGCACTTTAGTACGAGCAGCCTATCACAAAAACATATTTCGCCCCCTCATCGTTAAATCTGCAAAAATACCAAATATAACTCAATTTGACAGGCATAAAATTATATTTTTGGACTAACAAGTTGATTCCTAAAAAGCTATTAGTTGAAAACCTGACATTTATCTGAGAATTTTGCAGTATGTCCTTAAAGAATTGAGGAACCTATCCTCAAAAACAGGATGATAAACCTAAAAATAGATAGACCTAAAAACTGTCTACAGCAGAAGAACAGTATCTGAAAGTCACGTCCTTAGAAGCAGGAAAAACAATACATCAAAAACCTGACACAGGACCTGAGAGACGCATCTGACCTTTTACTCATCTATTGCCTGTCCCGTTTGGTTCTTTTGCCATCAGAATTATTGTCTAAAGGCGAGGAAAGATGCCCAACAGATTTACTTTACCAAATGGACCATCCCAGCCTTGCCGTAATGGTCTATTTGATTCACCTTTTATTGTTTATTTTATTTTTTTTATTTTCACTTGCTAGATACGGGACAGACTTGAATGAGGAAAAGAAAAGGGAGAAAGGAAGAGGGGGGAAAAACAGCGGAGAAGAGGGACGGGGATAAAGGGCAAAAAAACAAAAACCAACTAAATAAGCAGACAAAAAAAATACATATATCAATCACCTGGATCACCTGTTGAGAAAGAAAAAAGAAAACAAGCAGAAGAAATGAGAGCAATACAATAAACAACATCACGATGATCTATGGGAATATAACAGTAAATACTAAATATTAAACATTATTGTGCAGCACGTAAGATCGACAGCGCACAGTGTGCTTTGAGGTAGGAGCCAAAAAGGGTGTAGTTTGTGTGTGTGAGTCACCCGTGTGTACACCTGTGAGCATGAGCGCGCTTGTATTTAAAAGGTTCCTTCATGTAATGATCTGCTAGAGGGTGTGGGGGGGCCACAGCCCCGTCCTCCAGGGCATGAAGCAGGTATGGAGGAGATCAAAACTCCAGACATCCAGAGGCCCCCAGAACACAAGAGACCAAGGAAGACCAACAGAGGGGCAGCCGCGCCACTGTCCCAGAAAGAGCTGAGGAGAGTCCCAGATGAGGGCTCACTCAGCAGCCGCGGAGCAGAAGCCAGGGGGAGTTGCAGTGACGCGCCCGTGAGCTCCGCCGGCAGCCAGCCGTGCCGAGTGACCGAGCCCCAGGCCGAGAGGCCGGGGGCACCCCACCTCCGAAGTGGCCCGAGCGAGCCCCAGGCTCCAGGCCCCGATAAGCAGCCGCCAAGGAGTGAGCCGGTGTGTACCAAAGACCACCAACGCACCGATGTCTGAGGGAGTCCGCCACTGGCAGGGGAAGTGGTGGTAGGGTGGAGATAGGCCTCCAAACCTTGGAGGGCCTGAGATGTCCCCAGAGAGGTGGCGTCTGATACCCAACCTGACATATAGACACAGACATACAGGCACACACAGACACAAACATCCATTCCCACCCTCATGCTCTCATATGCACTTACTCCACACTCAACCAACGTGGAGACAGACATAAAGAGACGCTGTACACACGATCACACTCCCCAAGCGTACTCTAAGCCCCGGGTCTAGGTACCCTTGCCCCTGGAGGGGGGAACTGCACCCAGACCCAGGTGGTGTTACCCTTTTCCCTGCGGTGGGGAGAGGCAGACCGCCCCGACTCCGCAGCAGCAGGGAGGCCCCACACTCCAGACCGCAGTCGGACGGCCAACTCCTCCTCCTAGCCCCCCCGCTCCAGCAGGTCGCAGAGAACGGGGGTGGGAAGACTCCAAACCTCCCTCCACCCGCTCATTGTAGTGTTGATGCATGTGTGTTCTAAGGTGCATTTAAAACCCAGGAGGGCATGGAGCTACCTGCCAGAGAGCAGCAGGTAAGCGCATAGGTCCCTCCTGCTAGCCCTCAATGTCTACGTGTATTTAAAATTGAGAGGTGGGCAACGACGCCAGGGGTGAGGTGTACACCCTGATGGTCTTTTGGAGTCCGTGTAGCGTGCCCACCCCGATCCTATTATGTGTTATGAGAGTGTGAGTAATGTGAATGTCTAAGTTGTGAGATAAAATTGAGGCACAAGAAGCCAGGAAGGACAGAGGGGGATGCCTCCCCTGCACCTGGTGACACACCTTTACCCCAAGGCCCTGCATGTGTGGGTGGTTGTGGTGGAGCGGGAAG